AGCTCCCCAGACCAGTGGGCCTTAAGTTTAAATCAAATATATTTAGGACATGTCTTCCTATTTTATTTAGGCAGCTCAATTAAGCTTGTCTAAAACTTAATAGCTCATCTATTGCCCCTAAATTCACTGCTTTTCATGTATTTCGTCTCTTTTTTAGTGGAACATCCTGAAGTTAAAGCCAGAAATGCAGGTGTCCTTGAGTTTTCCCTCTTTAGCCTGTTCAGGCCCTAGTTCTGGGACTGCCTCCTTGCCACTTTCCAGGCTGTCTTCTTTTCTACTGCCTTCTTGATGACAGGAGGGGTGTTCTGTGCTCCTCTTGGTCCAGCCTACTTCCCTGCAACTTATTCTTCACCCTCTTGTTAATAGTGCATGCAGAATGCAGATCTGAATCCTCAAAGCCTAGATAGCTTTTTGTTGAAGTGGAACCAGCTGGTCCAGCATTTAGTATCATTCCCATTACACCCCCTTTTCCTGAGGCTTGCTGTCAGTTTCAGCTGCACCATATAGATGACTTGTGGTTCCCTGCAGTGATCATGATTTTTTTTTTTTTAAGAATGCAGTTCCTTTCCTCTATCATTGAACTCTCGCTTGTTCTTCAAGTCTCCTCTGACCTGAGTTCCTGCCTGTTTCTTCCACAGGCACCCTGCTTCCATCATTTATAGCTTCAGTGTCTGACATTGACTGGCACTCAGGGTATGCTCTACAGTACTTGTTGAGAAGCTTGGACTCTTAATTCTCACAACACTATAAATGAGATGTATCTGACTCTTCTGAGAAGGGATTTTGTTTCAAATATTTGTCACTTACTGGCCAAGGTGGGGACCAAAAATTGGAAGATCACAAAACAGGAAAAGGGGTGCTTATGAGACTAGGGGTTTGCCTACTTTAGATCACACACACACAAAAAAGCTTGTACTTAATTTGGAAAGCTGCCAAATAATTTGTGACTTGGTTTATTTAGTTGTATAAAAGAGAATGGGTTCACAGTAGTTCAGCACTGAGGCTCATTTCCAGCTCTGACAGTCTGTGATTCTTTGCACTGAAGTTAAAATCTGATTAAGAAAAAAAAAAAATCTAAATAGGTCATTTTTTCTGAGTTCTGAGAATTCTCTCCTTCTTCACTTTGCTGTAAGCTCCAAGGAGGCAAAGACATTGTCTTTTTGCATTTAATAAAAATAGTTGTTCATTTAAAAAATGAAGTAGAGGAGAAAGGAGGAAAACTACATTAATATCATATTGTATTGAGGTCAGGAAACTTACTCATTGCCTCCTTGGACACTTTCCTTCCAGTCTTTGCATACCCTGCTTGCACCCTGCTTGCTGACTGCCCTAGGTGCCAAAGCCTGGTCTGACCATGGCTGTGGGTAATAGTAGATTGAGAATGAGATTACCTCCAGCATCTTGGCCCTTGGGTGGTTAACTTTTCCAAGATAATGCCTGTTCTTTAGTGGAACATTATCTTGTAGCAAGGTGGGCATTTATAATTTATATACCATATGCTGCTTAAAATAGAGACAAGAGGATAATCATCCTGAAGCTTCTGGTTTTCCTGATAACATTTCTTCAGTGAAGTCAGCCTGTAGGAATTAAAACCTGCCATGAATTAAAAAAACCCTCTGTCCAGTTGTCAAACAGGCAAATGGGTATGCCTATTATCCAGCCTTGTAAAAGGGAGAAAGAAGGCAATTGTGTTTTTAAAATAAAACTCATTTATTTTCTCCTATTCAAAATAATCTGTAAAGATTTCAATCTTCCTAGTATTACAGGGGCCAGGGTTGCAGGACAGATAGGAGAAATGCCTTGACAAAGGACCAAAGCCATTGCACCTCAGATACTTTTGTGCTGTGGTCTTGATGTCCGTCCATCTGGGTTGCTGACTGACTGCAGACAGAAAGAGTGGCCTCTCCTGTTGAGTACTTGCAGAGGACATGCTGCTCACTCCCATCTATTAGAAATAGAATGCCTGGAGCTGGGCCTTGTGATCCATGCCTTTAATCCCAGCACAGGACTCAGGAGGCAGAGGCAGGTGAATTTCTGTGAGCTGGTGGCCAACCAGATCTTCATAGCATGTTCTAGGCCAGTTGGGTCTAGAGGGAGACCTTGTCTTGAAGAAAGCAAAAAAGAAAACCTGGAGCTGAGGGTGTGGCTCAGTGGTAGAGCACTTGCCTAGGATGTTTAAGACTCTAAGTTTGATTCTAGCAGGAGGACAGGGGAGGGTAGAGGAGCAGACAAGATGGCTAGTGTAAAGGTGCTTGCTTTGTAAGCCTGGCAACCTGTGTTTGATACCCAGAGAGGAACCCACATAAAGGTATAAGGGAAGAACCAACTCCAACTTGTTCTCTGACCTCCATATGTACATCACAGCAGCATGCACTCCACCTCCCAGATACCATATTCTCTCTTTCTCCCTCCTATACACACACACACGAATTCTTTTTTAAAGTTCTACTTGAAAATGTCCTCGTAAAAGCAGGTTTTAGCAAAAGTGAATCAAATACTGAGTCTTATCTTTTTCTTTTTTTATTATTATTTTTATTTTATGTGTATGAGTATATTGCCTGCATGTGTGTAAGTGTACCCATGTCATGCAATGCCCATAGAGATTAGAAGAAGGCATCAGATTCCCCTGGAACTGGAGTTATGGATGGTTGTTAGCTGCCATGTCGGTGTTGGGAGTCTAACTCTGGTCCTCTGCAAGAGCAGTGCTCTTAACTGCTGAGCCATCTCTCCAGCCCCCATTCCTTCTTGTTTTTATAGTAAGTCTCCAGAGCTTACTTCTTCCCCTCTATTCTTTCTCATTATGCTCTTCACCGTGCCAGGACTTTGGGTGGAGGTTGGTTTCTTTCTTCTCTTTCTTTCCTCTTTCTTTCTTTCTTTCTTTCTAAATTAATTTTTTTATTTGAGGTTAAGGAGCACACTGAGGTTGGGGATGTGAGGTTCCTCCCCCCCTCCCCCTCCTCCTCCTCCTCCTCCTCCTCCTCCTCTCTCTCTCCATCTCTCTCTCTCTCTCTCTCTCTCTCTGGTGTGTGTGTTCATGGGGTGCGGTGTGCATGTGTGAGCATATGTAGGTCAGATGTCAACCTTCAGTCAGCCTCTTAGATGCCATCCACCTTGGTTTTTTTTGGTGACAGAATCTCTCTGGACCCAGGGCTCCTTTGTTAGACTAGGCTGGCTAGCCAGTGAGCTCTGGAGATCTGCCTGTCTCCTCCTCCAGTGCTGGGTTTAAATGTGTTTGCCACCACCAGCTTTTATTTATTTATTTATTTTTTATTTATTTTTTTGTCTTTTTTTGAGACAGGATCTCCTTGTAGCCCCAGCTGTCCTGGAACTCACTATGTAGACCAGGCTGGCCTCAAACTCACAAAGATCCGCCTGCTGCCTGCCTCTGCCTCCCAAGTGCTGGGATTAAAAGCGTGTGCCACCATGCCCGGCTTTATTTTTATTTTATGTGTATGAGTGTATTGCCTGCTTGTATGCAAGTGCACCTGTTTTGTGCAGTGCCCGAAAAGGTCAGAAGAGGACATCCTATTCCCTGGAACTGGAGTTACAAATGGTTGTTAGCTACCATGTGGGTGCTGGAATTTGAGCCTGGGTCCTCTGCAGAAGCAGCCAGTTTTCTTAAACATTGAGCCATCTCTCCAGCCCCCTACCACCAACTTTTTGAGTGCTAGGGATCAAACTCGGGTTCAAACTCAGTGCTTGTGTGACAGACACTTCACTGACTGACTGAGCTATCTCACTATGGGTGGTTTCCTTCCTTTTTTCTTTTTTTTTTTTTTTTTTCTTTTTTGGTCTTTTTTGGTCCTTTGAGTCAGGGTCTTCCTATAGCCCCAGCTGGCCTGCTATGTAGGATGATGTTGGCCTCAAACTCACAGAGATCCCCACCTGCCTCTGCCTCCCAAGAGCTGGGATTAAAGGCATGCCCCACCACACCCGGCTGTAGGGCGGAGGTTTTATAATGAGGATGAGAGAAGAGCAAGAGGCTTCTACAGTCAAGTGGTTTCATTCTTCCCTTGCCTGAAATCCTTGCATTTGAATCCCAAAATTGCTCTTGCATGTTTTCATATGATCATAACTACACTTAAGTGTGCATTTGAATGTCTACCTGGGGGTAGATGGGGTGGGGTACAGCAATCATTAGCAAAGAGGTAGTATAGGAAAAAACCTGTTTGATTTAAAGCCACTAGGTGGCGATATTTACTAAGCTGCCCTGCATCGTCTTTCCTATGAAGCTGTTTGAAATTGCTTTTCCAACTACAAGATTGAATAACAGAGAAAAAGGTTTAGCAGCCTTTGCTTCAGGTCCTTTTGAAAGTGAGGCTATAGAATAAACACATCACAGTATATTGGTATCTATTCATCACTTGTGTTTAGATACTGAAAGTTCGGAATTGCTCTGTGTGGCTGGGTGAGTTGCTTCTGTTGGGGCTCAGTGAGGCATCTGTGATAGGAGAAACCTGCAGTTGGCCTATCTGTTCTCTCATGGTTCTTTTGCTCCATGATTTGTGGCTTTGGTTACAACTTCCTTATACTTAAAAAAAAATTTTTTTTTCTAGTAAAACTGGTCTTAAGTTAAAAACAAACACAAACCTTTTAATCAAAGGATGGGGTCATGATTTAAAGATATATGAACAACAAAATCTCAAGGGATTACATATCTCACAAACTGGCTATCTTCCTGGGCTAATTCAAGAGGTTGGACTCTCCTAAATGAGGCTGCTTATTTACCAGGTTTCCTGAATTAGCAGCTTCAGGGATATTAAGATCTGTAAGGAACTGTCCAAGGAGGTATTGTGTATGCTCCCCAGTGATTAAGCCATTAAACTCTAATTAGTATTTTCCTGCTCATGGTTTTGTGTAGGAAGCTTTAAAATTATTTAGGAATTCAGTGTTCATCAGCCATTTTGGTGATAATAGAGAGGACTAAGTGCAGTTTTGTGTGTGAGCTAATTATGATTTTTGCTCACAATGTCCTTCCCTGTTGGTTTATTGTATTGCAGATGAAATGGAAAGGGAAAGACCTGTTTGATTTGGTGTGCCGGACACTGGGGCTGCGGGAAACCTGGTTCTTTGGACTGCAGTACACAATCAAGGACACTGTGGCCTGGCTCAAAATGGATAAGAAGGTTGGGCATGAAACCAGTGGGGCAGGCGTGTGCTTTCTGTTTTTTTTTTTTTTTTTTTTTTCCCCTGAGGATGCACCTAGTTTATTTGCTCATCAGTGGGTGTCACAGTGACATGGTAGAGAAGGAGACACATGTCTTAATTAAATCATGCAGAAAGTAGGTACTACAGGCTTTTCTGCTCCTCACAAGCTCTCCCAGAACAAGACTCACCAGGGATAAACCTTGGCCAGCCCTGGCATTTTTGCCCATTGTCACTGGCTTGTTTGCTTTTTGGCTTTATGCCTTCAGTTTATTGAACCACTAGTCAGGCTTTATAGATACATTACTACTATCTTTGTATGCTTTACAAAAAAAAAAACCAAGCCAGCTGTGGTGGCACACACCTTTAATCCTAGTGCTGGGGAGGAAGAGGCAGGCAGATCTCTCTGAGTTCGAGGCCAGCCTGGTCTACATAGTTGTGGCTACAGGGAGACCTTGTCTCAAAACAAAAAAACAAAACAACCCCAACAATATCTGTCTTTGAAAGATTCTCTTGGGGCTCATGGTCTTTAGGGAATTTTTACAAGTCTTTTTGAGAACACCAGAGCCCAGCTGAATTAATCATTAATATAACCTAAGGAATAAAGAGCCTGCGATAAAGAAGCAATGCCCATTTGTTTCTTGGGGTTCTCTGAGGTTTCCAAAACACATGAAGTTTAGGCTCCTAGCAATAGAAAGTGGCTTGGAAATGGATATGACATAAGGGAGCTGCCTGCTTATGGGTTTATATAGTCGCACAAAGGCACACCTACCTATTTTCCCGGATGCTCAACCAAGAAGACACGTGGTGAGTAGGACCATATGTGTCTATCAGTTACTTCAAAAACATCCCTGCATCTCAAAGTAAGTACGTGTCCCAATTCAGACCCTAAATGATGTTTCCAGCAATTGCCTCCTGAAGTTGATCTACTCCATAGCATGACAACCACAGACTTACTAATGTGACTCTAAGCTGAGCTGTTCAGATTGTGTTCACACATGTGCATGGTGACCTCTGTCTTCATGCTTGGAACTCCTGCTGGTTGTCAAGTTTCAAATGGTCATTCCTTGTGGAGCGTGGAATTTGATTCCAGCATTCTGGAGGCAGAGGCAGGGAGCTCTCTGTAAGTTCAAGGCCAGCCTTGTCTACATAGTGAGTTCCAGGCCCACTAGAACTACATAGTGAGACCCTGTCTCAAAAAACAAACAAAAACAGTAATGACAAAAGACAAATAATTATTCCTTATGATTAGGAAAGTCCACGTACTACTGTAGAGAACCAATGTCAGTGAGGGTAACCTACATCAAGTTTATTTTGAATCCCTTGGGCACTGTCCCTGGAATTTGGGCGGGCATGTGGAGAGTTATATATCAGAGACAGCAAAGCTTTCTGTATCTTTTTATGATTCTCAGCAGAGTGAATTTTAAATCATATGTGAGTGTTAGCCAAATGGATATTAGATTGGGGGCATCAGGAGCCATAGAACCTGCTGTTCAAAGGAAATAAATTATGACACATGTTAATGGAGCCTGGTAGCCTGTCGTATGGCATGTTTATGTCCTGAAATGAAATTCACTGTGGAGAGCAGATGATCCAAGCTTTTCAAGGGGTGGGTGGAATTGTTAGACGAATAAAGGCAGTGGTTTGCTTACAGCACTGCAAGCATTTTGTGGACATCTCTGGAGGGTCTTAGAAACAAAGGGTTGCCACAATGGATGAGTTTTACTTCTGTTGCTCAGTTAACATAGAAACAATGTCACAAAGATCTAGCTCATTGTCTTCAAGCTTATTCCAACCAAACCTACAGATTAGAATGGGCAGCAAGAAAAAAGAATAAAGGAAGATTCTACTGTTTCAGAAAAAAAAATTAAAAACCTTTTGTCCTCCCTAAAAAATAATGCCTAAGACCTTTGAGTTGTACATTTCTAGTTGGTAACATTTTCTGTGGCTTTGACAACATTGGTGCCTTCATTGTAGCTCCACTCACCTCTTGGGGATATTGATTGATTTGGTTCAGAACCCCTGTGAAGTGGATATTATCTCCTGTTATGGATGGCTCTGTGAATGCTTCCAACCGTAGAAACATGGCCTTTGGGAAATGGGAGGAATGTAACAGGGAAAGGATTTTATACCTCCTCTGCAAAATGTGCTTTGATGGTAGCACATGACGGGGGAGGCAACATAGCACACCTTCTGCTCTACAATTCTGCAGGTCTTGGATCATGATGTTTCAAAGGAAGAACCGGTCACTTTTCACTTCCTGGCCAAATTTTATCCCGAAAATGCTGAGGAGGAACTGGTTCAAGAGATCACACAACATTTATTTTTCTTGCAGGTACGTCAACGCATGATGTCTCCCCTAGTTCTAAGAGGACAAATTTGGGTGTGGTTGCAGAGGCAGCCCAGGTGAACCCCTTAGAGTTGACCACAAGCACTTCTGCATTGCAAAAATGTTATGCCTCCAAATAGTCAATCCTTTTGGTTTAGTAATGGGGGAAAAAAATCTTCAGAATAGAACTCTTCCCGAGCTCTGAGAATTGGTGTCAGATGAAATTGCAGAGGTGTGATGATGAAGAATGGACAGAAGCAGTTACCTAATACAACTTCCTCAAAGATGGATCCTGGTCTCGTCTAGCTAACTTGAAAGTACTCTGAGGTTACAAAGAAAAGCCTAAGAGGCTTAACAGCAATTCTTTAAAGTTCAAGATCTGCTGTCATTAAGATAAGACTTCTGAACAGCAGTGACACACTTGGTTTGTCCCATCCCTCTGGTCCTTCAGGCAGCCTGCTCTGTGCTACTCTTGAGTCTGTATTGTCTTCTTGTTCCTTTATTAGAGTGCAAGCTCCTTAAAAAGGCAGGCTCATTGAATATGCAGTTGGTGTTATAAGTAATTGCTCAACCAAACTGAAGAAATTAGGCAATCCAGAATTACAGGTTGACCATCTAGGGGCATAGGAAAGGGGTTCATCTAAGAATGGAAACCTTGTTTACTGCATGGTCAGAGTCCCCTCTCTTTATGTGATTGACACTAAGACTGCTTATGTATCCACTGTCATGAAATAAAAGATTGCAATAGGGATATTAATTGTATCAATTTCACAGAAGTACATCTGTGATTTGTCACATGGTCCTTGTAATATGGAGCCTCAGTGCATTGTGTTTATGAAATAGTAAGTGAAATGAGATAAAACCCTTAAATAATGTTGTGTTTTGTTTTGTTTTGTTTGAAACAGGGTCTCACTATGTGATTTAGACTGTCCTCTAACTTGAGCTCTTTCTGTCTCAGTCTGCCAAATACTGAGATTAAAAACAGTCCTTTCAGATTTTCTGTCCTATGGCTTTTTTTTTCCTTTGAAAAGAAACCATGGAATTTGAAGGTTGCAATGCTTCAGAACATCTCAGCTTTCATTTTCTCTCTGTTTTAAAGCTTGGGAAGAATTCTTATGTGTAAATGAAGCCACATAAAATTCCTCTAGGGATTGGGGATGTAACTCAGTTGATGAGTGTTTGCCTAGCATGCATAAAGCCCTGGGTTCAATCCCTAGAACTGCATAAACAGCATGTTGTCATACTTTTGCAGTCCACAAGGAGGATCACTAGTTCAAGGGTCTCAGAGCATGGTGGTGCTGGCTTGATCCGGCTTTGTGAATTCTAGGCCAGCCAGGGTTACATAGTGAGACACTGTCTGAAAAAGAAAAACAAAAAATTCAGGGTCATCCTTAGCTACATGAGACCCGACTATCTTAGTGTTATAGAAATGGCTTTCTTGTGAGGACTTGAGGCAGCACCTTTCCCTCATATGACTTTGTCTTGATTTTCCTTCTTAGTGACTGAACAAGGCAAATTTTACTACTTCTATGAATCTGGGAACTGTTGACATCTGAAAAGTGAAATGGCTTTTAGTGTACCCCCAATTCATGTCGTTCTCTTGCCTCTGCATCTGAAACATCACTCAATACACCACTGTGAGAAATTAAGTGCACTGAGATATGTTAATTTAACATTATAGCTTAGGAATTATATTTCCTGGACCTCACGTGTACTTAAAAGTTGAATCGATCAAATTCTATTGCTTCCTTTTTCCTTAGAGTAGCATATTGGAAAAAATGACTTTTTTCTTCAGTCATAATTCAGTAGTCTTGGTGACTTTTGTCTTGTGTGAAGACTTGAAAGTAGGCTCCATTTCCTGCAGTGCTGTGAGTACTCTACAGGGGCCAAGACTGGGATAAAGACTCCTGACACTTTTGAGTTCATAGCTCTGTCCACCCCACACGTCAGTCTCTGTTATAATCAAGAAGATCTTATTTACTCTTCAACTTTGAGTGTGAAGAAAAGAAATGAGGCCTTTTGTACAGCCATCTTTTTTTTTTTTTTATGTGTATGAATGTATTGCCTGTATGTATGTGAGGCGAACATGATAACTACTACACTATGGAAACTACCTGCATGTATGTAAGTGCACCCATGTCATGCAGTGCCTGAGGAGGTCAGAAGGTGTCAGATGCCCTGGAATTGGAGCTACAGATGGTTGTTAACCACCATGTGGGTGCTGGGAATTTAACTCGGGTGCTCTGCAAGAGCAGTCAATGCTCTTAACTGCTGAGCTATCTCTCCAGCCCCCAATTGTACAGCCATCAGTGGCTGAACTCTCAGCTGGTCTGCAGCAGTTTAAAAAAAAAAAAAGAAAAAGTCCCTTTTGTCAGAAAATTATTAACAGGCTGCTTCGACAGCCATTATTTATTTATTTTAATTTTTTAAAAAATTTTATTTTCTTTATTTTATGTGTATGTGTGTATTGCCTACATGTAGGTAAGTGCACCTGTGTCATACAATGCGCACGGAGGACAGAAGAGGCTGTTGGATCCCCTGGATTACAGACAATTGTTAGCTGCCATGTGCCATGTGGGTGCTGGGATTTGAACCCGGGTCTTCTGCAAGAACAGCCAGTGTTCTTAACCGCTGAGCCATCTCTCCAGCCTGGCAGCCATTATTTAGCATACCCTGTAGCCATCTGCTGTGACCAGACTGCACTGCTCTCTTCTACACGCTTATCTCATGTCTCTTTTGTTGCCCCTTTCAGGTGAAGAAGCAGATTTTAGATGAAAAAATCTATTGCCCTCCTGAGGCATCAGTGCTCCTGGCTTCCTATGCTGTCCAGGCCAAGGTAGGCACAAAAAAAGAAAAAGGTATTCTTTTGGGACATTGACTCATATCACAAGATGGCTCTTGTCTTCTGTTTCTTTGGATTTTCTGGATTTTAGAATGACTTGCCTCTGAAAGTGAAATGTCATGGGACTTGGGCATCTCTTCTGCCTCAACTTTTGTATATCTTGTATGTTTAAAAATGATAAGCATATCATTCTGAGTTAGAATTCATTCTGAGTCAATTCATTAAAAAAGATGCATTTTCTTTGTAATCTCAATATGCACATGTGGTTCATTATATTCATCACATCAACTTCTTTTATATTAGCCAGGAAAAGTGAATTTATGATCCCTAATTACGATTAAATGAGACCTTTAGGTCAACAAGACCCAGTTCCTCCCTCCAAACTCATCTTCTCAGAGCCAACTTCCTAGAGACCATACTCTCAGAACCGTCCCCCCCTCCAGTGAGGTCTTACCTCCACTTTGCTAGTGGGCATCTGCACTGCACTGCATGTGTCTAGATACTGCAGGAGCTGGGTTTATTGAACCTGCTGAGTCCAGTGGAACTGTCTGATTAACTTAAAACCATTCATTTTCATTTAGGCACTGCAGAGCAGGAGTGGTAGGAGATGGACATTACCAAGACTTGAGTTTTTCTTTTTTTAAGACAGTGTCTATCTATGTATCCCTGGCTGGCCTGGAACTTGCTGTGTTGATCAAACCTACCTCTGATCCCAAGTACTAGGATTAAAGGCATGTACTACCATGCCCGTCCTGTCCCATCTTTTCTTATAAAACCCACTAGAGTACTTCATGTCCCTTGGATTTCTTCAATCATGTATCGCCTTCTCTTGGTATCCCCGCTTCCTGCCTTTCACTGAAGTGTAAGACGTCACCAGAATCGAGACAGACATTGATCACATGCCATTTAAAAGCATACTTTTTTTGGGGGGGGGGTGTCTTTTTGAGACAGGGTCTCCCTGTAGCCTGAGCTGACCTGGGACTCACTATGTAGACCAGGCTGGCCTAGAACTCACAGAGATCTGCCTGCCTCTGCCTCTGCCTCCCAAGTGCTGGGATTAAGGGCACGTACCACCATACCTGGCAAAAAAGCATACTTTAAAAATATTTTATTATTTTTATTTTATGTGTATGCTTGATTACTTGCATATATGCAAATGCACCCGTGTCATGAAATGCCCATGGAGGATAGAAGAGGGCATTGGCTCCCCTGGAATTGGCGTTAAGGACAGTTGTTAGCTACCATGTGAGTGCTGGAGTTCAAACTCAGGTCTTCTGCAAGAACAGCCAGTGTTCTTAGCTGAGCCATCTCCCATCGCTCCAGCCCACCCCCCCTTTTTTTCTTTTTTAAAGATAGTCTCACTATATAGCCCTACGTGTCCTGGAACATGCTATGTAGACCAGGCTGGCCTCTAACTCACAGAGATCTTCCTGTCTCTTCTACTTGAGTGCTGGGATTCAGGTTCCAAAAGCTTATTTTTCAGATACTTTTTTTTTCATTACCGATATCTATAAAGGCATCACCACAGTGTGAGAAAATCATAAATTTTTGTTAGTTCATTTTTGAGTTGGAGAAAAGGCTGTACATTGTATATGGTGGTCGGGCCAGTAGAAACAGTTAGTTTACTCATTTGATGACTGATTGAGTGTCCATAGAGTAGTCATAAGGCCTGGGGCATAGGGCTTGTTAACTGTCATATGCAGGCACTAGAGCAAGTATCTGTCTTCAGTGAGTCCCTAAGGTCATTGGGGCCATTGTGGGTAAAGCTAGAGACAGGCTCTATGACTTTAGAATTGCATTTTGTGTCTTCCTTGAAAAATGAGTAATTGAGAAAATAGAAAATGAGCCTCAGTTCACCTAAAGCATATGCTTCCTTTTATGCTTTAATCAAGAATATCCGTCATAGGAAAGGTATGTCCTTTTAGTCAGTATTGCCCTGACAGGGATGAAGCAGATATTGTCACTTTCTGGCCCAGAGTTTCTTTTTTGCATGCTTTCTCTTGCCTAAGAGAAGACCCAAGCTCTCAAGGACAGTACCTCAGTCTCGAAGGCTACATTTTCTTTGTATGGATTTTGGGCCCCAAATTCAAAGACTTCCTGTATGGGAATAGGACGATGGTTATCTCATTGAATGAACCATTGGATGTTTGCTTAAACGCATTTCAGTGTAGGAAAGCCCTACTAATTTGGCTCCTACAATTTGGAGATGAAAGTGATTCACAGACAACATATGTGGTACATATGGAGGAGGATGTTCTATTTTTTCCGGTGTCAGTTTTAAGGATCTATCAAATAATGGTAATCTCTAGCTTTAAAAGTTTGTATTCAGGAAACTAAGGCTTACTATAACATGCTTCCAGTTTCTGGAACTGCTAGTTAATATTATAATAAAATATTTTTTAAGTGTATTTATGATGATAATGAGAACTTACACATTCATAGTGTTTAACAAAATGTTTAGCAAACTATTTTGTAAGATACTAAGACTTGTGCTTGTTTTCCTGATGAGGAAGTTAAGGGTCAGAAGGATGAATGATGTGTCCAAAAATCAAAAAATTTTGGTGTCACTTCAACTTTTATGGAATGTACAGCCCAGTTATTTTTACTTTCTTATTTTTATGGTGTTAGGGATTTGTAACCCAAAGCCTTACGCATGTTGGGCAAATGTTCTGCCATAAAGGTACCTGCCTCTTCATCAAGAGGATTTGAAGCAGAATGGGATGGAGACTGGAGCCAGGTTGGGGACCCTGGTGTCTGGGCTGCCTGACTGAGTGAGCACTTTGCTCTTGCCCTTCACTGTCTAATGAGAAGCTCTGCGGGTATCAAGTGTTATTGCTCACTAAATTCCAGTTTCATTACAAGATCGAAATAATTTAAACTTCTCAGTAAGCCATATTGGTTCCTTTCATTATATGTAGCTTGTTTTCTTCCCAATCTTTTAAAACAGAAAGGAATTCTAGAAATATGGAGGAGAAATTGAATCAAGCTCATTAACACATAGAATGTAATTATGTGCAAATATATTCATTACAGCATTTCAGCTGTTTGAATGATATAACACAGTTAATTCCAAATTGTAAAGAAACAACTACCCTCAAAGTATAAATACAAATATTAATCACATGGTTCAGTTAATAAGAACCATATTCCTTGGTTGGAGTTTGAGTTATGCTAGAATCAAAAGTATGGACAGAATTTTTTGGACAAGTTGTATGATATGTAAAACCATCTTGCAGTGTTTAAGCCACCTGTTGGATTTTATGTGGACAGTTTAGTCTTTCATATATGTATTAGTCAGTGTTCTCCAAAGAAACAGAACTAGTAGAATGAATATATATGTATAGGGATTTATCAGCTTAGCTCACAGGATAGAGTCTGAGTAGTCCAACAATGGCTGCACCACACTGGAGAGGCTAGAATCCATATTCGCTCAGTCCACGAGGCTGGATGTCTCAATCTGGTGCTGAAGGTCTGATGAATTCCAAAAGATCAGCTAGTCTTCAGTCTA